TATTTTTAAACTTTGTGGTGCCTATAAAAACCAAAAATATCACAGTGTTCCTTAGTTAAAAAGGGTTGGGATCTGCTGAATTAAACCAATAGATGTTTCTAAACACCATACTGTTAATGAATATATGACAGTAAGAGAAATAGCTGTATGGGTAGTCCCAGAATTCTCTTTATTATATATGTACAGACAATTAAATAAATTATTGTTCCAAAGATTTTACTTGTATTTGATTATATCTGAAATAGCTATATGACCAGCCTACGTATTATCTTCATTAAAAATTATGTTTTTAATCCATTGTTGTGAATTTACACTCCAGATACGTATTTAAAATCACCAAAATTTGTCTGTAGTGAACATACTTATTTTAAGCTGTCAATTGTAAGTTGGAGAGGATACCTCATACAATCGATATACCTCATACTTTCGAGATATATCTCCGAAAAACGACAGTTGGATTTATTTTAGTTTTAGTTTTATTAGTGATAGTAGCGTTATTTATACATACATATAATAAAATAATCAAAATTTAACATCCATTTCTCTCCATTGCGGTTATCTATTCTATCCAAAAATAGATTTCTTGTTATAGAACATAAAGCATTTAATTCCTTAATAAACTAATTAATTATTTAAAGCGCTTAAGATTTTCCATTCTATACTTAATTTGTAAAACAAATTATTTGTATTCATCAGAAGCATTTCATCTGATATTTACAGAAAATTATCTTGTTATGTGCACTTAATATTAAATATACTTAACAAAACCGAGGAATATAATTTGAAATTCCTTTTGTTACGAATCCACATTTGGCATACTTAACTAAATTAAATGCTTAAGATTCCGGTCACATATAAAAATAAGAATAAATAAGCATCAACTGAGAAAATTTCTTTATGCACTTAAGCCACAATTAGCCACAAATCTGGTACATTTTGCCGAATTAGCACAACTTATGTTGCTTTACTAGCAAAGAGCATAATTAATGGCTAAGACAACGGCAGAAGTGACCTAAACCATGCCAATGCCACGCCAAGCCAAGCCAAGCCAAACCAAGCAGAGGCTGATGCCGATGCCGATGCCGATACCGATGCTGAAGCAAATCAAGTGCACCGGAAGAGTGGAAAAGTGCTTCAACGAATTCCCACAGACTTCAACAAATATCAGCAAATTTTAAGAATGAATGCGTTGATTAAGTGCAACGCCCACACAAATGTGCTGCACTTTGCTAAAATTTTGCTGCTTACAGTCGTATGTGCCGTGTTAAATGTGAAATGCACTTAAGTCAATAATCGAACTGCGAATTACGGACGGCAGCAGGAAGAGCACAACTGGGATTGGGACTTGGTACAAGCAGCAACGAATGTTGAGGAAATGCATAAAATCACAGTAAAATGCTATTGGCTGCAATTAAAATTCAAAGTGCAACATGCAACTCTCGGAAACATTGGCGAGTAAAGTTAAAGCTACTAAAATCACTAGAAACAACTGAAAGGATTTTCTGTTCAGAAAAAAAAACCAAAACAAAAAGTTCTTTTTGAGATTTCGTTCGTTTGCTAGTAACGCAAACTTTTGTCATGTTTTGCTAAATCCTTATAAGCACCTCCAATGCTATGTCCAGCAACACAGCTGAGACTATTTTATTCTACGGTACTCCGTAATGCAATTTTTTCTTTCTTTCAATCTCAAGTTTAATGCAAAATTCGGTTCAATTTCGAATTCTGTGTTTGAAACTATATGTGCTCCACATCGTTCCTTCCTTCGTTTCTTTTTCAATTCTAGCACTTTTATGGATTTGTTTAGCTCTCACTTAGGCATTCCATTAAGGGAGAATGCTCATACATATAAGCATATCAGTAATGAATTGATTTTTTTTTCTTTTTTTGTTTATTTTAAAACAGCATCCATCCTTCTGTGCGGTTGGCGCTACTTCGATTTCGCATTCGTGAAACCTCTCTGTGATTGAAGAACATTCGATGTTTGTGGGTTTGTTAAGGTTTTGTTTAGATTTTCCATTTTTTAGGCAGTACTTCAGTACTTTTTGTGCACCCCTCGTACTGTACGTATTTCGTTTGCTGTCAGTAGTTGGCAATCGTGCTTTTGATTTTTAATTTTACGTTTTCTATTTTCAAATGAAACATGCCATAAAACAATTTTGCTTTGGGTCATTTAATTTCATTATGAATTGTAAATGTTGCATCCTTGATTGGCTGCCACAGTTGCTGATTTATGTTGGCATTGCTATGGCCGATAAGGCAAAGTCTGCGAGTCTAAAAGATATTTTTTTTTGCATTTGTTGTGTTTGAAAAGGATATTGAGTTAGGAATTCATACATCTGGTATTTCATTTTAAAAACAAAAATGTCATTTGATTTCACTAAACTAAATTAACTTCTTCAATTATTAAAATGCACCCACAAAGGGTAGGGAGTTATAAAACTAATAGATAATTGAAAATGTAAAATATATTGAACTTTTAGTCATATGTTATATATCGTTGATGGCAGCAATTTCCTAACAAAATTAGTCATAAGTTATTATTATACCATGGTGTTATTTATGGGTTTTGAAATTACCAAGCATCACAATGTAAACACAAAATGTGCAATATTTTCTAAAGTCCTGAAATTTATACTTACATACATTGAAATATATTCAAACTTAGAGAACCCTTAAGCTTATTATTGTATAAGTTTTTTTCAGTTCTTAACAGTTTTAACGGTTTTTGTAATACAAAAATATACGGGGATATATCTTTATTATGAAAAATATGGTTATACTAGAGAAATCAAAAAAACTGCTACATTAATTTAAAAACTAATACTATGTTTCCAATTGTCTCATTTAGGCAGTTTTGCTCATTATAGTCATTAATGAGGATAATTTACTATACAAACAGCTTTCATATAAATGAGCTCATTAGAAATAAATCACATGATTTAAGGCGAAAAATTTCGAATACAACCCTTAAGAACAAATTTCCCATAAGGGAAATTACTAAAATTTGAAATATTTGTCTAGCAAAATATTAAACAGATTTTTATTAAGATCTGTTGAAAAAATTAGAAGCAAAATGTGCACTAAAAAATCCAGTTCACAGAAAAAATAAATAATTTCCCATCACAAAATTATATACATCATTGGTAAATTCAATTAATTAAAGTACAAAACCTTGTAAGAACTATCTCAATCTCAACTTCTAGAATTAGCCCCTCCTTTGTTGGACCTCGAAAATAATAATTATTAAATATGAGATAGTGCACTGTAGTGAAAAAAGAAAACCGGTCTCTGGTGTTTTCTTAATCTGAATATGTTTTTGTTCACAAAATTTTGTAATATAAGGCTCCAGTCAAAGTATGTTTTGTAGACTTTCAAGAACACAACTAAAGAAATGGAATTCATAAATATGAGGATTGTTAGAATAAGTGCGTTGATGTTAAAGGGGATTATCTTGAAAAGTGGTCATTTTTACTACTAAAAAATTTATTCATATTTTTGACTTTCATATAAAGAATTTAGAAAGTACGAAGTTGGAAATTAAGCAATTAAAATAAATAAATTATATGTAAAAATGTTACATAAATATGTGTTAAAATGTTACATATATATATGTTAAAATGTTATATAAAAGAACCAAGGTTGGAAGATGATTTAAACACTGTCCAAAATATTTTGACTATGATCTGTGTTCATGTTATTATAACAACAATAATTAAGTAAATTTTCTTCCACATTAAAAATGTTGATATCTTAACAAATAACATTAATAATTGAAACTTGAAGAATATTCAAAATATTTTTAGACATTTTGGTAATATTTTATTTTTTATATTTATAGATAAAAAATAAAGTGGCTTTTCGAATAGTAGTGAACTACAACAACAAAAATTTATTTTATATTATATTAATTAATTGAATTTTTGGCTGATCATACAGGTGTTTCGAGTATTGCCAAATACCCATCATCAGTGGTTTTGGAAATAATTCTAGTATTTTATTATTCGTAAATAAACTTTTGAGACTGTAAGTACCAGGAATCGAACTCGAACTTTGGATCAGTTGGTTAAGGTGCGCTGACTCTGAGCTTCAAATTTGGCAGGAGCCGAGTTCGATGCCTGGTACTTGCAGGCATTCTCAAAAAATTATTTATGAATAATGATTTTAATTCTTGTTCTTACTATTATAACAACAATGATGAAGTCAATTTTTTTCTCTGTTAAATGTTTTAATATCTTAACAAATAACATTATTAATTGGAATTTCACAAAAACTTTTTATAAAAAATTTTTTATTTATTGTCAAGCATCATGAAACTGAAAATATCAATTTTTGGCAACTCTTACTTTCAATGCCTATGGAAAGCAAACCCAATTCAAAATGACCTATTGTTTGATCAAAATATTATTGCTCACTTCCGATATTTATGATAGTTACAATAAGATAGAGTTCCGCATGATAATAATGAATGTTGCATGTCTAAGGCATAAACAAATAAATACAAGAATAATTCATTTCCGAAATGAGAATAATCAAAAACTATACATAAATGTCCAATTCAGAAAAAAAAAATGGCAAATCAACCAAAACATATAGAATTGACTTATGAAGAAGCAAGAAAATATGAGTGTATAACCCAAAGTCATGAGGAAATTAGTATGCCGGTGATGTTATGAAAACGTTAAAGTAACAACGACGTGTCATGGGCATAGAAGACACACAAACTCACAAAAAATTTAAGCAGATACGAGTAATGACCACATAACGTGCCCATTTGTAAGACCAATAAATAGAGAAAAAAATCTAAACAGTAATAAACCAGAATATATATACAAAAAAAAAATAAAAAAAAACTATAATAAATGAAGTAGGAAAATAATTTAAGTAAAGCAAGCAAAATTATATAAAAATGACAGACACTGATTGGTAATTACACAGTAACATTTGCAACTGCCAAAGCAAAACAAGTCAAAAGTCTTAAGCCTAAATAAAAATTAATTAAAATGTTCAAATACGTAAGTTGGCAACACAAAATATTTCATAAAATAAAAATATCATTTGAATTTTATTTATTTTCCAAAACTTTTAGTTTGCTTTGTGTTTCTTTGGTATCATCGCAATGGTTGCAGCTAAACCAGGACTTGTAGCACCACTGGCCTACTCAGCACCACTTGTCACTTCCGCTGCAGCACTGCCTTATACAGCTGCCTACACCACCGCATACAGCTCACCTTACTATACATCCTATGCTTCTCCATACATTGCTGGTTCACCCTACACCGATGCCTACACCGCCGCTGCATACTCCGCTTATCCTTACAGCTCCATTTTGTTGAGACGTTAAAACGACACTTAGCACTGTTAATATCACTGCTCTTAAAAGGATATTATTTCAGTATTTAATCCATTTTTTATTTTTTTTTTTTTACATTGAATTCGGTTTCAAAAATGCAATAAAAACAATTAAAACCTAAAATGCTCTCGTTGTGCTAATTGCCTCAATTTGCTTAACACACACTCGACTAAATGTCGAAATCCTTTTATCCTTAAATTGTACTTAAAAAAATAGAATAATATTTGAATCAGTTGAGCACCAATCTACTGGAGTGTGGACATTGTTGAATTAGTTTTTACTTTGCTGCTCGATTTTTATCTTTCAGTCCTTGTTTTCGTAGTCAAATACTATTGAGCATTTTTTGGAGAGCTTATTTGTAATCCGGAAAATAGTTGAAATTTTTGAATATTGTGGAACTTTATATTCCGATTAGTATTGCAGCAGTTTGTAGAGGAAATTTAAATAAATTTCAAATAAAATAACAAATTGGCTCGTAATAAGTTTCTACTTTTCTAAGTTCAAAAGAATTTATTCAATATTATAGCATAGTCACTTCCAAAGTTTGGAATACGATTGAAAAGTTAGAAACTACTTTGTTATGGACGTTCAAAATATTTATTCCCTCACATAAAATTTTCGGAAAAGGAACTTTTAGAAGCTAGTTTTGATTAAAGAAATTATTCTATATTAAATATAATTTTAACGTCAGTTACAACAAATAATTGAAATTCAAGAAATAATTTCAAGACCACTGATGAGGGGTATTTGGCAATACTCGAAACAGCCAAAAATTAGATTAATTAAAAATAAATAAAAATGTTTGTTGTTGCAATTCAGTACTGTTAGAAATCACTCTATTAAAAAAATTATATCTAAATTAAAAAACTTATATAGATGCTATTGCAAATCCAAGAAATGTATTGAAATTAATATATCATTAGTATAGGGACATAGTTTATTCTAATTTCATAATAAAAACACAATTAGTTTTTTAGTTACACAAATTTAAAAAAGTAAAAAGAATTAAATAATCCATAACGACTAGTGGAGTACCTATCTGATCGTCTATTGGAGAACTGGTGATATATGAAATAAATCAATAGTACCAAATAACTTGAACTTAGCAATGTTATTCTTTCTGTATACTATTAAATTTTCAAGGAAAGTGCTTATCTTAATAAATTTAAAGGCATCCATATCTTTGAGAATTTATGATGTGGATGACTACAAATTATATAAAAAAATAAAGTATTTTCATCGATAAAAACTGTCTTCTAAAAAATAACATATAGTCTCTTAAGATAAAACATCAACCCAAGCAATATCCAAAATCTTAATTTTTTCCCGTATTAGACGACAAGCTGACAGCTGCCATTCCAAAATATAGTCTTTTGTATATTTTACTTTATAAAAGTCTTTTTTGACCATTTTAATATATAACAGATCATAAAAATTTATTATTAACAGTAATTTAAACTTAATGCCCTAAAGGATAATTTTTTTTTAAGAATCTAGAATGTAGGTGTTGAAACCGAATAGACTATATAGAGTTAAAAAAAATTGTAGTTTGATAACATCCAACCTTAATTTGAGGGAATTAGAGAATATCAAGAAAAATTCGAGAAAACGCATAAAATGAATAAAACCTTTTCAAATATGCTTTTCAGCAAAATATTCTTAACATGAAATACATTACTTATGGTGGGTCGTTGTGACAGCGCATCGTCCAACAAGTGGCCCCACTGAAGTGAAGGATTAGCCGAAGTACACCACGAAACTACTTGGGTCTTTTTTCGTCCTTCTATTCTCGAATGTCGTTATTGAATTAAAGCTGCAGTGGCTTCCATTCGCATAACTACATCTCTTATTAATGCAAGCAGCTCATTTAGCTTGAGGTTGCCTGCCAAGTCATCACTAACCCAAGGGTGTCCCAAGACAATCTTCCTCCTACTTGCCAGTGCTGGACATTGGCACAATGAAATACACGAAGTCTCAAATAGATAATGTACATACTTTGTTACAAAAAAAAAATCAGAAAAGTTTTAGAGATTATAAATTTATTTTCGAAGATCTATTGACTTTTTATTAAAGATTCTATACATTCGACGTTATTCTGCCGAAATTAGTGTGCATCACGAAAAATTCACGACTCAATGTGAGTACAAAATTTTATTAAATTTAAAATGTCGCTGGAGAGAAGCTAAGCAATGAAATCTTGGATTATTTTTTTAACACTCTTATCAAATAATAAGAATTTATAGGAAGTAATGGGATATTATTCGCAACAACAACAAGTTGTACAAATTATGCGTGGAGAACGGAAAATAGCTGTTGGAATACTCAAAAGATTATATTACGATTTGAACCAAGCATAGAACGAAAAATATCAGACTTCAGCCAACAAGCAACATAAACTGATTTTATGGTACGGCGACAATCCTCGACCACATATCGACAGACAAGTAAAAAATACATTGGAAGCATTAAAATAGGAAATTCTATAACATATTCCCTATTTATCAGATCAGTGTTCTATAAGATTATTAATAGTTTCGTTCAATGCTAGTCTATTTATGTTCAGCATTCACAAGCCACGCAGACATCATAAAATACTAGCTCGGTGAATGGATTATATCAAAAGACAAGCAATTTTTTCCATAAAATCCATAAATTTTTGAAAAGATGATGATAACACTTACAATAGAAAATGCTTTGATTTAAATAATATTTAACATTTGTTTAGAAATGAAAGTGTTATATACTCAGTAAATTTTGAAAAAAAAAAGTTATCCAAAAAAAAAACTTAATGGGTTTATCTCATACCAATCTCGAGTGATATACATTTAGCTAAAAATTTATCAATCCCAAATGAAAATTGCACTAAACGTGAATCTCAATTGAAAAAGTTACCCCAGATTTAGCAATCGAAAACGGCATAAGTAAACTAAGGGCTGTATTATATAGAGTGTCATGGGCTCATCATGAGCAAAATTGTTGTTGATATCAATGTGAATTGACAGTGAGACAAAAAAACAACATGTCGGTTCAAATTTGGTTATGAGAGACAAGGCTATCTGTGCCTCGTCACTTAGGCAATGCAGTGTTATACAGTAATGAATGTCAGTATTTATGTCTTTTAAAAAGAAATTATTACAATTTGAGTTTTGATGAGCTATTGTAACTCTTCATAACATGGCCCTTAGTAAGTTATACTGTTATCGCATCTATTACAATATTTAATCTATTTGTGATGATTATGTGATAATAATTTCTCTAACACTCTACATAACACACAAATTCGTCAAAGTCCAAAAGAGAGAATTTTCCCGAGCCAATGGCTCTCTTCATAGAATGGCCCTTAGCAGATTACACCGTTATCGCATCAGTTACAATCTTTAATCTCTTTGTGATGATTATGTGTTAACAATTTCTGTGAATTTCTATATAACATGCATTTTATCGCATCAGTTACAATCTTTAATCTCTTTGTGATGATTAGGTGATAACAATTTCTGTGACATTCTATATAACATGCATTTTTGCTAAAGTTCAAAAGAGAGAATTTTCCCGAGCCAATGACACTCTTCATAACATGCCTCTTAACAAGTTACACTGTTATCGTATCTATTACAATCTTTAATCTCTTTGTGATGATTAGGTGATAACAACTTCTGTGACATTCTATATAACATACATTTTTGCTAAAGTCCAAAGAAGAGAATTTTGACGAGCCCATGACACTCTTCATAACATGCCTCTTAGCAAGCTACACTGTTATCGTATCTATTACAATCTTTAATCTCTTTGTGATGATTATGTACCATATGTAGATAAAGAAACTTAATTCATTAATATAATTAAAACTAATTTAATAATGTATAACACAATATAAAAATACCAACTGAAGAAGGTCAAATTTCAGTAATGTGTCATTGTCATTCTCACGCTTCCAAAGTCTTAACCCAAAGCCCTAATTGAACAGTATTCCAACAAGTTGAATAGAAACATAATTAACAATATAAAAAATACTGAATGCATTCAATGGAAACAATGACGAAGAAATATCGAAATGATATCGCTGACTTTTATGCGATTTTATTGACAGCAATTCCCGCACTTACAACCAAAACACGATAAAATCGAATAGATGACTTTTCATAGTGACAATTCGTATTAAATACTCATCTACACATGTAAACTCATCTACACATACCCAAATATCCACCAGCTAAACTTTTTTCCTCGCAATTTTTGCACAATAACGTGTAAAAGCGAATGTTATCAGCGCGTCAACAACATCCGTTTCCGCTGTACGAACAAATGTGACATCTTTGTATGATTGAATGCTTGCGTGCGGGTATGCCACATAATTTACAACAATAAAAACAATAAAAACAATAACAACAATGAGGGGAACAGAACTACTACAGACACACGTGCCGACAAGGCTTTGACTGTAATATATACGGTGACGACGCGAAGAAAGTATCATTTGCTTAAAAAGTTTTTCACATAAAAAATTTATATGTCGCCATTTTAGACGCCATTTGCAATTTATGCTAAGCAGAATACAACACTGCATAGCAGAGTAGAGTAGAGCAGAGTAGAGTAGAGGAAGGAAGGAAGCATCTATCATTTTTAATTTTTAGCGATTTATAATGTAATGCGTGTGTTTTATGATTTGTAAATTGAAACTTGCATAAATTTACTTGCATGCATAGTGTGCGCGCATGCATAAATGGTATGAAATTACAGGACCTTTGACAATGCGAGTCCTCTTAAGGTACGTCACTGTTTTTTTTTTCGATTTTGCTTGATTTTTGTAATTTTTGAGATAGAATTTTTTTTATTTTTGTGTTATGTGTTATGTGCTCTGCTTGATTTTCTCGCATCATCAATCTTAGTTGGAATGCGTCTCTGATTTTATTTCATTTCATGTGCCACACGATTTTTGTAATAAAACTAAATATCGCTGCATTTGTATTCGCATTTCTTTTACGATATTTGCA